AAATTGTACATTTTTTGCTTTAAAACTGATTGAATTATGTTGTTTTTATCTTCCGGTTAAGGTTTTTATGCCTTTAGTAATCTGGAAGCAATATTTGTACAATTATCAACAATTTTAAAAGTGTTTAAGTGCGTTAAGTTTTAAATAAACATAACGGACATATTTGTTTACATTTGAAACAGCAGAATTGTAGATTTGTTGCCAATCTAGAGAACACTTAGCTTCGCACAACAAAATAACGCCTTCATTTATTATTGCGAATTAAATCATGCTTAATCCTTTCTGGAATTTTTTCGAGGAAATAAGTATTAAGATTTACTTCGTAATTTTTAATACAGATATTTTGAGTTTTTATGTATTTTTTGCGTTGTCGCGAAGTGAAAACTGAATTAATTGAATGAGAATACTCAATCGTCTGTGAAAAACTGTTTCTTTTTTTTGTTTTGTTTGCTTAATTTCTTTTATACAATCGGTCTAGCTTTATTACAGTATTTGAATAGAACATGTGGCAACGATTAGATAATTCTTTTAATGATATAAATTTTGTGCATTCTGAGTTATAATATGAACGAAATATAATACTATTAAGTAAACTAGCGCCAGAGTGTCGCTATGGTAACAAAGTGAATTTTAAAGAATGCATTTATTCTATTGTGGTTTATGCGCTGTCGGCGAAGTAGGTTTAATTCAATCTAATAAGTTAAATAAAGCAAGAAAAAATGCGTATAATTTAATATTCCGTACAAGGAAGTCATGTGGTGTACACATCAGATTTTTTGTATTTATTACACTGGTTAAGCAAAAAAGTACCAGACAGGAAAACGACTCATACCTCTTAATTTTGATATGCTGAGCATGAAATTAATTGTTAAAATTATTTATTAGATCACGTTTCGAAGATCTATGGTCTAGCACTTATCCGCACACTAATGAAATAACCTCGACATATGAACCCTGAACTATATCTTCCCGATGGTTACCTTCGAAGGATGACGCATTCGGCACAAAGTATTGGCATAGTACTTCTTTAGTCAGTTGTAAGACAACGTTCAAACAAGATGCCTCGTAAACGTGTTAATAACGCAGACAGTTTTTGTTATATTTGTGGTGAGGTGACGTTTGCTTCCCAGAGACGAAACCTAACTTTCATAGTTAAAAAAATCTTACAATTTCTATTTTGGCTGCAAAGTAGGAGATCAATAAAGTTCTGAGCCCCACACATCTACTCTAATTTGTGCCTTCTGATCTGCGAAACTTGTTAAATAACAAAAAATATCGATGTCCTTTGCTGTCCCAATGGTGTGGAGAGAGCCGTCAGATAACGTGAACGATTTCTATTTCTGCGTGGTGTCTCCTATAAGACAGGGAATGGTTGTATTGAGTGAGTGAGGGACAGGGGACGTGGACACCATTCCACAAACATTGTGGTTATTTGGTTTAGCGCCACGTCCACCATTCTCTAAAGCTGTGCATAATACTTGACACAATACTATTCATAATACTTGACATGATATAATACTTGACATACTGCAATACTTAATACATACTTGACATGATATAATTCTTAACATAATACAGTACTGACTTAATACTTGTTAATACTGTAATTCTGTTAATACATTAATGTCTGACATAATATTTGCTTCTAATACATATTCTTGACTAAATACTGGCTTTTAAGAAGGTTCTGAGGTGTTGGTGCACTTTACATAGGTCTGTGCCTATATCTGATAGTTTGTTCATTACCTTTGCAACTTGCCTAAGTGTCTTTGTCTGATCCTATATTTACTAAATGCCTTCCTGTTGGTTTGAGGCATGGAGATATGTATGCAGTTTGTCATAGGACAGTCCACTATATAATGCTCAGGGGTTCCAGTATCACCGCAGGAACATTGGTCTGTATTTATACCAGCATGTTTAGCATAGCATATAGGAAAAGGACCGTGTCCTAAGATATATCTGACGAGCGTTGGATTGATATAGATCCTGTCCGTATTCGCATAGATGATATTGTTCACTTCCACGCCTATCGAATTAATTCTACCTTTTCGTTGCCCTGCGTTGGCAACACGCTTTTAGATTGTCGTTCGTAGATTCGGCCGCTAAAGCGTACTGACCTGAACTGTGTATTATTTTTAATGCTTATCTGTACTGCTGAAATTACTAAATTTACGTGTGAATGTTTTATATTAAATGTATCAGTTTGGTTTAAATAGACGAGAGCGACTGAATTATTAAGTATGTTTAAAGTCGAACTGCGTCATCCATGTCGGCGCCATTCTAATACGAGGAGCGTAAACAGTTCTGGAGGCACCGGCGAGATTCAGGCGGAATTCGTCAGTAGTTCAAGTACAGATAAGTGCTTTTTTATTTCGATTTACATCTGAATTCGATTCTTTAGTTTATATCTATTTTGTATTGATTTTTGATTTTGAACTTGATACTTCGATTCCTTTATTATGGATAGCTACTGTCATTAGATTTGCGTGGTTAGGGCAAAAAGCGCTTCACAGGCTTTAGAATACTATTCTTCATTTATCTAAAAATGAAAGTAATTTGCATCTGGAGCGCTTGGAAAGGATTTATTCAGATTTTGATAAATTTGATGCCAATTACCAGAGGAACAGTCAGAAATGAAGATTTGAATTGAAGTATTTTAGTTTGAAACTTCAGTATCAAAATTTATTAGATTTATTGAATGTGGCTAATGTGCCAAATGTTTCAGAAAATTCTAATATTAGTACTTTTTAAGTTACCTAAGTTAAATATTCCTATTTTTTCGGGTAACTTAATGATGGATGAATTTAAAGATTTGTTGGTTGCAACAGTGCATAATAATTCTTTATCGAATATACAGAAATTTCAGTATTTAATCGGACACTTGCTGATGACCAGCTTCTATAATTAAACATATTCCGTTATCAAATAATTCTTCTGGTAGATAAAAAAAAATCGTACAATCGTTAGTTAAAACATTTCTGGATCAAAAATGTATTTAACAGGTTGATAATGTTAATTTACGACAATTAACTGATACTTCCGATGAAGTTATCAGAGGTTTGAAAGCTCTTGATGACAAAGCAACTTCTAGGGATCCATGGTTAATATTTATGTTGCTACAAAAGGTAGATTCAGAAACTCGAAAGTTATAGGCACAGAAAGCAGCGGAAGATGATTTTCCTACACTGGAATCATTTTTTGAATTTTTAAATTAAGGTGTTCTTCTCTCGGAATTATCATAAATAAAGAAGCGGAAGCTAAAGTTGTTGATAAAAATAGTAATGTAGTCAAAACGTTACAAAATTCTAAATTTAGTAATACTAAATGTTCGAAATGTAACGGATTCATGCCTTATATAAATGCGTTAATTTAAGAATTTGGATGTTACTGCTAGAAAGAAACTTTGTACGAAAACGAGGATTGTGTTTTTTATGTTAAATTCACATCTAATCAAAAAAGTTGATTTCACAGTTAAAGTGAATTCTGTAATTCAAAACGCATAATAGTTTGTAGCATGAAGATATTAAAGCTAACAACGTACAGTTTTAACAGCGCAAATGAAAACGAAAGCACTCCAGAGAGAATTTCGAATGAATCATGCGGGGGTCAAGGTCAGGTAGTAGTAATACGATTCAAAATTGCAACTCGGCGATTTTGCCTACGGTTCTCGCACTCGCATTTTTATCCAGTGCAAACTATCGAAATTAATTATTATTGGATTCCGGAAGGAAAGTTCGTTTATTTCTGAACGAGCTATTCGAAGATTGGGATTAAAAAGAACAAATCAAGTTACTTTGCGTGGAATTGGCGGAGTGCAGCTTCCAAAATTCGTGGTTCTGTTGATTTTAAATTCAGTCAAAGTTAAATAATGAAGTAATTGATGTTAACGAACATTTTGATAGGTTAAACTTTGCCATAGCCGGAACAAGTCATTAATGTAAGCATATAGAATACATTAAATCTATTCCGTTAGCGGATCCGAATTTTGCTCAACCCAAAAAAATTGATTTGATTTTAGGAGCTGATTATTTTTTCTCCGTTTTAAGATGCGTGGCCCGAATATATGGTTTCGAAAAATGAGCCTGTAGCTCAAAATAACAATTTTCGGTTGGGTGATTGCTGGGAAGGTCGGAAATAATATGGAAGGCCATAAAAACAGCAAATTCACACTTCATAAAGCTAGAAGATAATATAAATATTGATTACGAACTTAACCGTTTCTGGGAAATGGAGGATATTGTCGATGTTGGGAAAAAGGAATTTCTGACACCCGAGGAAGAATTTTGGGAATCACATTTTCAAAACACTCATTCGGTTAATTCAGATGGGCGATTTGTGGTAAAACTTCCATTCTATAAATCGCATTTGAAGTTGGGTGATTCAAAACCGGCAGAAATTTCTAGGTTGCGTTCCCTTAAACCCTTAGCAAGACTCTGTCATTTATCCAGTTTCAACAGTCACCTCTTGGTTGCGTGCAAGTTGGAGGCGCGCAACTCTACAACTAACAGGGAACACTAAGAAGTAAACTTATTGTAACTTGCAAAAAAGTAGTATATTTGTAAAGACACCAAAAGCAAGAATGCAGAATTCAAGGCCACGTGCAAAGTTTTACTACATCACTTTATTATCATATTTAAAATCCACAGAGAAAATCCGAATAATGCATATATAAATTACTTTCAAGTTTTTTCCTCAAACGATTTTTATCTGTTGAGGGGGGGGGGGTATACTGCGTCGCGAAAGAGCTTTTCAAGTGATTAATGTGTAATTATTTCGAGCGATTTCTCTGCTTATAAATTCTGCCTTAAATAAATATAATAGTTCAGGGAATTATGGATGCGAGAATAAGTAGCGTTATGTATGTAAAACTTTGCTGTATCAAAAATGCCGAATGAAATATATGCTTGAAAACGATTATTTCGATACGATGCATCAGTGTTTTATTGTACATTAAAATTAATGTTCTCAATATACTTATGTTTGTACATATTTTTTTTTAGGATGACTGAAATGAATTTCAGAATAATTATCGTCCAGCAGACATCCGAAGAGGTGAAACTGGAAACTTGCGTTAAAGAAATAACGCCAAAAATCGAAGCATGTGGTTTAGTTGTAAATAGCTTAAATTTTGTAAATTTGCAAAATGTTGAAAATGAAGATTATGTTGAAGTCGAAGAATTAAGTATTCACGTACAAGCTATATTCCATGATAATATGAGACTTGAGAAAAGAGTCTTATACGAAGACTTCTGTGAGAAATGGAAAAATCAGTATCTTCCTAACCATTGTCCAGTTCTTGTTCTGTATGAAAATGATAGTTTCATTAACAGAAGATTATCTTGTCATTGCCGTGTGTCCTACAGTAATATTTCTTTTGGTGTACTACCTCATAACGGCCTGTTTCTTGAGTATGCATCATTTGATATTCATCATTTGATAAATTTGAATTTTTATAAAGTCGATTTTTATCATGATACACGAAATCTTCGGATAAAGTATAATAATTACGAAATGCGTTCGAGTTATGATAATATCAGAAAAATATTTATCAATATAGATTCTTGTCCCTGCGAAATGTTTTTGGATTTATGCAACCCTTTCCTAATATTTAGGTTAGAAAAGAGGTGCAATGACACAAATGAAGAGTATAGTGTGGATCATCGCGCAGGAGTTCTTCCTTCCAATGGAAGTAAAATAGATACTGATACTTTGGGTCGATCTAACGTTTTGAAACTTTCAATAAATGACCTTGACATTGTTAAAGAAATAATCGGTAGAATACACTTCCGCTGCAGTGAGAAGCCTATTCACTATTTAAACGTCACATCAAGACGGAAAAAACTCCCACTTGATCCTGTAATTGATTTTTTTCACTTTGGTTGTACATATACACTAACAGCTATAATCAAACGAAACTTTACTATGATTGAACAGACAACAAATATTAAGGCCGAGATCACTCGTCTAGATACATTATGCAACAAAGATGGAGACTGTTTGGAGAATGCTCTAATAAATATTTTAAAAGCTGTTGATTCTGGACTGATAGTTAACTTATGGATCGAAGTTCAAAAGCAGTTCACTCATTATTTGAACAGTAAAGATGAAATTAATTATATACATTATATAGTGCCTTTAAAATCGAGGATGATTCGCCGTATTACATTGACTCCTACGAGGCAAATTTTATGGCCTCCAGAAATAATGTTTGAAAATAGGGTTCTACGTAATTTCGATTCGGAATATGCGTTACGAATATCCTTCCGAGATGATAATATGAAGAAACTAAGTTATTGTGCTTCTTATGCCGAACCATGCATACTTCAGTCGGCAGTAAAAGAACCCATGCTTGGAGGTATTCGTATTGGAAAGAGATTATATGAATTTCTGGCGTGGTCTAATTCGCAGATACGCGACCATGGCGTATGGATGTATGCTAGAGATCGAAATGGAAACACTGTTAGCGATATACGAGAATGGATGGGAGACTTTTCCCATATTCGTTCTGTTTCGAAATACATGGTTAGAATGGGGCAGTGTTTTTCACAGACAGAGGATGCTATTTCAGTTCCGCTAGATCCAAGCCATATTCGAACTGAGGATGATATTGAAGACGGAATTGATTTAGCAAATTTCAAACCTTACTGTTTCTCCGAAGGCATTGGAAAGATTTCCGTTCAACTGGCAAATGAGGTAAGTGCTCTTCGGTGATTAAAGTATGGCATTTTTAAAATTAAGTTGTTAGAAATAGTTCGGAGTGCTGTCATTTTATTTTAAAACAGAAGAGTAAATAACCTAAAACAAAATATAAATTTCAAAAATAAAATGAAATAAAGCTTGTTTGGTTTTATGTTTATTAACCAACTAACTATCTTATCATTTTGCCCTTCCTATCACTTCTACTTTCGCCCGTTCTCACCAGGATGCAAATTAATTCGTGTATATAATAAAAAATTATTGAATTTAGGAGAGAGCATTTGGCAACAACTGCTGACTGTTTCAATGCTATTTTCGCCCATTTTCTAAATTTACTTGAATCGGCTTTAGCCTTTGCTAGCTGTGTTTTTCTGGTGAGTCGATGGGCTAAGCCATAACTTATGTACGGACATTTTCTTAGGAATATCTTATGTTAAATATTACTTTGAGCGTTTATATTCTGGTAATCCCGCAAGTAGCCTTAGCATGTCCACAAATCTTCTGTTATTACACAATCCATGTATATTATTAGGCTGAAACTCTAAAATAAAGATTTGTTCTAAACATTTTTCTCATTACTCTGCAAAGCAACTGTATATATAAAAAGGAACCACAAATTTTAAAAAAATATTACATATAACAAAATTACAATGAAATAAGCAATATTCCTTACTACAAATATTAATTATTCTAATAAATAAATTAACCGACTTCCTGTTGCAAAATCTGAAGAATTCAAAAGGTGTAAAGGAAATTAAAAACTTTGTTTCCTAAACCATGCAAAACTTTTTCTATAATTAAAATTATATAAATTAAAACATAATTAAAAAATTACGAAGAAATAAGCAATAAATCTTATATTTTGAAGAGAAAACAGTCAGCTGTCCGGTATCCAAAACAATAAATAAAAAACTGTTGCCAAAACCGCATTTCTAAAAGAATAAAACTATCAGATGAAAAAAAAAACCAATCAAAATTGTGCTTTTTGTTTGACATAATCCAAAATATACAAAATTCTTTGCCATTAGCTAATAAAGAAAGAGAGAGAGGGGAAAAAAGAATATTCTATCTGTTGTGCCTCGCGAGACACATGCGAGTCAGAATAAGAAGATTGCGATGTGCGTGTTGCGTGTCCAAAAATCAAAAGGAAAAAATGCAGCATTTTATCTGATATTTTCAACAGTCAGCACTCCAGTATACAGAGCATTGAATGGAAACTATTGCCAAAACCACATTTCTAAAAGAACGAAACTATTCAAAATGATGAGATAAAATCGAAAAGATAAAATTTAAAAAAAAAAAAAAAAATCTGATTCGAATTTTGAAAAAATCGCTTCGAAGTACACTGACTCTTGTCTAGATAGATGCACCTATGTACCAAATTTCGTAGCCCTGGGCCTATTAGCTTACGCGCAGCATGAAAGAAAGACACACAGACTCTTTCTTTTACTATATGTAGAGACGTAAAACAATTTTTAGTTAATTTTTTATAATTTAGTTTTTCACATAAAAGATCAGGATTCTAAATACTTAAATATATGGATCTATCTAAACAAATATTATCATTATTTTTTATTTGGCAAATGCTTATTTTGTTGGATACATCTTCATCATTCAGTATTTTTAAATAACGTCTACCTTCTGGTAATTCAATTACGTGAAATTGAGATACACATTCAGTTATATCCAATTCTTTATATTCAATATTAGGGTTTAAAAATCTAGATACACTTCAAATGCATCTTGGGTGGACATCTTTTCAGGATGATAGGGTTGATAGAGTCCAGGACAGTCGGTAATAATATCAACTTTACCTCTTATTTTTTCCGATAGCTTGTCTAAAATAAATATTTTAAAGTATTGTTGCGTGCGTACAGGGTCGTTATGAATTGAATGCACAAGTCCGATGAAAAATGAACAAAATTTTTTATTATTACAACAAATAAAACAAAATGCTTAAATTTTCTCAGATATTCGTACAGTACCCCAATATCTTACAGTAGTTATCTTTTAAACTACTAAAAACGTTCAACAGAACTAATTCAAAATAGAGAAACGTAGAGAGAGAGCTAATCCAATTTCACCGCGAATTCACTACAGTAAACAACAGCAGTTTTCTAAACAAAACTGAGCTGAGGTGTTCTTTCTCTGACTTTTATAGCTTTTTAAATCGGCCGCACGAGATTATTCTAGCAATTAATATATTATATTATAATACTAGCAGCCACGCGGCCAACCTTCGTCTGGCTTTTAAGTGTACCGGAAAAATGCCTAAAAGGAACACCAAACATTAAATTTAAAACTTGCGCAGCATTTTACTCTGAAGAACAATTTTATATTAAAAAAATTATAAAAAAAGGTATTGCATATAACAATACACGGCTAAAATGCAGAATCGCCCATTTATTTGATTGACGCGTTTTACAAGAGTAAGAAGGATTGGATTTTTTGTCAATTTGCTTTGGCTTTTATAAGTGAAAATAGGTCAATGTATACATGGATAAAGTCAAGGGAGTGCGCAATGCCATTTTTGTGTAATTCTGTGATTTTTTTTTAAGTGAAAATAGGTCAATGTGCATATGGATACCTAGTATGTGCAATTCTTAAAAACGCGCCAAGCAGTGGACGATTGTGCACTTTCCCCCAATACACATACAATTACAATGAAATAAGCAATATCCCTTAATACAAATATTAATTATCCTAATAAATAAATTAACCAACTTCCCGTTGCAAAATCTTATGAATTCAAATGGTATGAAGGAAGTTAAAAACTTTGTTTCCCTAAAAAAATCGTGTAAAACTTTTTATATAATTAAAATTATATATAATTAAAAAATAAAATAAAAAATTACAATGAAATAAGCAATAAATCTCATATTTTCAAGAGAAAACAATCAACAGTTCAGTATCCAAAGCAATGAATGAAGAACTATTGCCAAAACCACATTTCTAAAGGAATGAAACTATGATCAGAAGCAATAACCAATCAAAATTGTGCTTTGTGGATGACATAATTCAAAATATACAAACCTCTTTGCCATTAGCTAATAAAGTGCGTATGTGATTATGGCAAAGCCTCGAGGGCTATCTGCCTAAGAGGAGGGATGCCTTCGTGGAGGACTTTCTAAGGAAAACTGGCTCGTATACACGTTACACATGGGAAAACCACGAAAACGCCCATACAGCCAGCCCGTTCGCGGGATTTGACCTCGGACCGAAGTACCAGTGTTCAGCGACTTTACCGCTCGGCCGCTGGTGGGCCATGATTGGCTAATAAAGAGAGAGAGGGAAAAAAAGGAAATTCTTTCTGTTGTTCCTCGCGAGACACATGCGCATCAGAATAAGAAGATTGCGATGTGCGTGTCCAAAAATCAAAAGGAAAAAAGCAGCATTTTATCTCTTATTTTCAGCAGTCGAGTATACAAAGCATTGAATGAAAAACTGTTACCAAATCCACATTTCTAAAAGAATGAAACTATTCAAAATGATGCAATTTCTTCAAAAAAGATATAAAAAAAAATCTGATTTGCAATTTGAAAAAATCGTTACTAGGTGCACTGGCTCTTATCTAGGTGCACCTATATACCAATAAGTACCATATTTAAAAAAAAAAAAATTTTTTTATTTTCTGATAAAAATTTATAATTTTATAATCTGGTTCAAAAACGTTTTCCATATTATAAACTTTTAAGATTTTTTAGTATCTTTAGATTCGAATTCATTAGTATTTTTATTAAATTTCAAATTGTACGAATCTAATATTTTTTTTTTAATTTTACTTCTTTTTTTTAGGATATTTGATAAATTGTTTTTGTTTTCTATCAACATATAACCCATAAGGATTCAAAATTCCACTTATATAAATAGGACGCGAGTCAGTCAGTCTGACAGCAAGGTTTTTGGTGTAATTTTTTTTTTTTACTTTATTGTCATACTTTAAATTCAAAAGAGTCAAATATTTTCTTAATTTTATTACGTTTTTTAGGTTTCTTGATTAATTCTTTTTTTTTTTTTTTTTTTTGAATGATCTGTTACATCTAAATTCAGTAAATCAACTAAAGCATGTTCACATTCTCCTGTTTTCTTATATATTCAGTCAATATTTTTATTAAATCATCCTTTTAGAACCTTTTGGCTGTTTGATATTAAGTTGTTTCAAAGCTGATTGTATTTCGTTATGTCGCTTATTTTTGAGTTACATATAACTACTGATTTGAATGAATTTAGATTTTTGATATAGTAGAAAAAACACGGAAGAAAATTAAATTAGGGTATCGGATTCAAAACATTTATTTTAAGTATATTTATTTCTGAATGTTCTTTAATAAAAAAGCAATGAAATTATATGTTATTCAACTACCCAATAAAATACAATTTTCAATTAAAAAATTAATGAAAGGACAAACATTTGATTTTGTTTATATAAATTTCGAAAAACCCGTTTTTACTCATGGGCCAATTACACTTAATAAAATATAATCTAAAATTCTGAAATTTTGTTTATAAACGTTCCTTTATATTTGAAGAAGAAATTAAATTTTGTTTTCAAACGACCACGCGAAAGTATTAAAATAAAAATCACCGACAGAAAGCGTAAGCATATTATTAACATGTTAAAATTTGCGGGTGTTGGAGTTGGAGAGTTTAAGGGAAAAATTAATTATTTTCGCTAAACCTCATACACAGAAAATGGCCTCAAACATTTCTGGAATAAATATGCTGATTGTGAATTTTGGCATTCGAAATAAATATTGCAGAGAACTGTGGAAGTCACCTATTCCCAGAAACCGAACCGCTATCTGCGTTTTAATTTTGCTGGCAGAGCATCTCGAAAGAACGTATTTTTTTAAAGTTTCAAACTATCCTTTACCCATTCGATTACCATATGAAGTTTTTGTAACTTTGGATATCCTCGTCCTGAAGTTCATTGAAAAGTTGATTTAATGCTCCCAATTCATCACGGCGAGCTACCCAGTGTCACGTATTGATTTCTCTTTCTTCTTCTTTTTCCCTCCCTAGAACAGAAATTAATTCGTTAGAAACTGCTTCGCAAACTTCAGGTACTGCATCTGTTATGTCGATATCCATTTTGCAAACAAACCGAGACGAGTTGTCATTCTGGATCTGATTGGTGTAAACAATCTGTCAGATTACAGGTCCGTTTACTCGGTTCGAGACGCCTATACGAGGGGCTCGCCGAAAGTCAATCGGAGAAATGTAAGTGTCCATAACGAGACAACCTGCAAGAGGGAGTATTCTTTTCTCCTTTTCTGAAAATGTATTGCTGATCTACCTCTTGCGAAATATCCTGAGGAATGTTGTTCGGCTAAATAACTGGTAGTTCGGCCATTCTCAACCAATGCTAGATGAGTAATTGTCTACCCATTTGAAAGAAACAAAATACTACATTATTTTGTTCCAAATATTTCAATATTTTGAATATATATTTTGCCCTGTTTTTATTTGCTCCTCAAGATTTACGATGCTCCAAGGGAAAAATGAAAAATAAAACAAAGTAATAATAATAGTAATCGAATGTCCTAACAGCCATTTTTTTTCAATAATGTAGTTTTTAGTAATGTAATGGCTTTTGTCAGATCTGTGTTAATTGTAATTATGCCACCGTCACTGAGTGCATAGCACTTCATGGAGTCTCCATATAAGGCGTCAGTGTCACGACTAACATGCAACAAGCATTGAACTCGGCGCAAAGACCATTTCTTCTGGGCATTTGCAGAGGATTCCGTACCTCTGTAACAACTGCATTAAATGTATTGGCAGGTCTTCAGCCGCGGCACTTAGTAGTACAGAGCGAGAGTGCTGTGGTGAGAGCGATCAGAGTGAAACAAGACGTTACTATTTGGAACAAGACATATATATCCTTGGACTACGAGAATTCCATTCCCACTCTCCTTGCCACCCTGCAGACTCCGATATAGGAGCAAGGTGTAATCCCCCACTTGTGTTACAATCCACAACCGTCTATACTGGCTCCAAAGGAGAGCTCGGGACCGCCGTGCCTGGTATGCAATGGACGATGACCTCACAGTCCATTCCTGGGCTAAGAAGATTGATTCCCATAACTTAGTATTTCAGGAAAAACTCCAGCCTTAAAAGCAGCTCTTGAACATTAATGTTAGCAATGAAGCGTACAAAGTAATATACACAGACGTGCCAAGTTTACAGACAATCCAAGTCGGCCGGAGTACACATTCTGTAGTGAAAGTCATACAAAAATTATTCATTTTGATTCCTGTAAGTCTGAGGCCCACGCTTCAATGGATTCCAGCCCATACGAGGATGAAAGGAAACTGTTTCAAAATATTCTAAGATCTATAAATCGACATCAATCACTTTTAAAATGTAACTTTTAATATGTACAATATTTACAGATCATTGATCAAAATATGGTGGTTCAGTTGACAAACAAATCTATATGCTTTCATAATCGAAAATCGAAATCAAATAGAAACCGAAGTGTTCCTAATCAAATAGTGTGCGAACCATCAGACATCCATATATCGAACTGCCGGTGGAGAGTCTATGGAAATTCAGAAAGCACGTTGCGTCGCGTTAACACGCAACGCTAGCGCCATCTATCAATTAATCAAAATAATTTCCACACACTCCCCACCTGAACTCTGTCAAGAGTTCACATCAATCTAACTACAATCAAATTTATATCAATAAGTATTTTAACATATAATTATAAAACAATTGTTAAGTATATTAAATGAATAGAAAATATATTCAAATTATAATCACTATACTAAATTCTAAAAAAGGTATGTTATCATCAAATATAATTTGACACTCAGTAAATTTAAACGATTCTTAATCTAATCATATGAAACTAAATTATCAAAATAAACAACTGCATAAAACATATTCAATCATATTCATATTATTAAACAATAAAAATGTTTTTTAAAGTTCCAAAGGATATAATAATTGAACTGGTCGTTTTATTATTGTTCCATCAGCAGTTTTTAGTTCACAAGAACGAACTTTATTATCACGACCACGAAAAACGTTTATCACTCTGACACAGTTCCACAAAAGTTTGCACTTATTGTTGCCTTCAATTAAAACAAGATCATCGACTTTAAGATCATCATAAACGTTAGGATTTTTTAATTGATGAGCTGTCCGAAGATCCATTAAATATTGTTTTTTTTTTTCCATTTAGTCCACAACTGCCTAACCAATAATCTTAATAAATCGTTCTTTGGTCAGAGAGGACTTGGTAGAGCCATCTTTAACAATGGAATTAAAGTTGATAGGTAATGTAGAATCTTTGTTCCAAAAATCAAAAAAATTGATTGGCTTCAGTGGGCAACGGTTCCTTGTGCCCATTGTATACATATGTCAAAGGACGAGAATTCAAAACAGCTTCCATTTGTGCTAAAACCGTTGACAATTCTTCAAAACGTTAGTAAAGCTTTACCGAGAATTTTTCGTAAGCACTCTTTCACTGATTTTACTAATCTCTCGTAGAAGCCTCCCCTCACCAAGCCCCTCGTTCTATTATAAACTTCCAACTGATTCTTTCATTCGACAGAAATCTTGGAATTTCTCATTCGACAATAGTTTAGAGAAATGTTCGAGTTCCTTTTTTCCCTTTTTAAAAGTTTTCGCGTTGTCCGAATAAATTACTCGACAATTGCCTCTCCTAGATGTGAATCTTTTGAATGCCATCAAGAAAGAATCTATAGAGAGATTCGGTACAAGTTCCAGATGTTTGGCTCTAGTGATAGCGCATGTAAATAATGTTACATAGGCTTTTTGACTTCCTTCGATGTTTTTTACGTAAATCGGTCCAGCAAAATCGATGCCAGACACGTAGAATGGTGGTGTCTCATTGATTCTATCTTCTGGAAGTTGAGAAGTGGTCTGGGTAGCAGACTTCAATGAATATCTTTTACAAATAAGACACTTGTTTATTATTTTCTTGATAAATTGACGTCCTTTTGGGATCCAAAAGCGACTTCGAATTTCAGCTAAGGTCGTTGCTACTCTTCCATGCATCATTTTAACATGTGCACTTTCTACTATCAAATTCGTTAGCCAGGAGTCTCTTGAAAGAATTGCCGGATGTTTTTCATCATGTGACAAACTAGAATGTTCTAATCTTCTACCCGCTCTAAGTATCCCGTTCTGGTCTAAAAATGGGTTAAAAAGATATAAGGATGATTTCTTTTCGACTTTATTCGCTTTCTTCAGAGACTCAATTTCTTTCGGATAAAAACGTTCTTGTTCAGATGGAATCCAATAATTTTCGGCATCTACTATTTCTTCAGTCGTTAATGGACCTGTCAAATGGTTTGTTTTCCTAATTTTGCCAATGAATCGTCATCCAACCAGTTATTCTCAACAATTTTCTTAAATTACTATATTTTGAGATGTCTATTACCCTTTCAACTGCTGTGCACACAAATTCATAAATACCATTAATGTTCTTACGGTATTCTAATTCTTCTTCAGTGACAGGTTTCTCTTCATTCTGTCGAGGCCACAATTCAGATGACATTCTAAGCCATTCTGGTCCCTGAAACCAGATAGGATTGTTTTTCAGCTCTGGAAGTTTAGCTCCTCTCGAAGCGAAATCAGCGGGATTACATTTACCGGGGCAATAATGCCAATTTTCTGGGGATGTCAAATTTTGTATTTCCTGAATACGATTTTTAACGAAAAGCTTAAATTTCTTTGCACAGTCTTTTATCCAGAAAAGTGTGATTTTCGAATCAGTCCAGAAAAAACAAGAAAGTTGTAACTTCAAAACTTTAGTGATGCTAGTGCCCTAAGTTTGGTTGATAAAAGTGCTCCCATTCAGTTCCAAACTAGGTAAGGTGAGCGGTTTTAAAGGCGCTACTGTAGTCTTTAAAGCAACAAAAACCGTAAATATTTGTTCATTGCTAGTAATTATACGGAGATACGCCTACTGTACCATACGCCTTTTTGCTAGCGTCGGAAAAACAAGTGCAGTTCAATCTTTTCCACTTCACTGTTACCGAAAAAAGTAATATCGTGGAAGAAAGTATAAAGCAGGAAACGAATATCGCAGTAATAAAGCAGAAGACGAATTTGCAGAAAAGTAATATCGTGGAATACCGATTTCGTCTAAATTGGAAACTTCTTTGCACCATGTTTTCCAATACAAAAACATAAATTTTCTGGTAGTTCATCATCATCAATCTAAAGCAAGTGTCCAAATTTGCTGCAATATGATTTTGACTCTAAGTACAAACGGTGATAATAGACCTATAGGATCAAAAATTCGTCCTATTGCTTGTAAGACAAAACGTTTAGTATTAACTTGTTTTTATAGAAATGTTATCAAATTTTTTACATCAAAGTAAATTATGTCATTTTGATTGTCCCAAGCGACTCCTAACACTTTCAATGGAGGATTTCTAGCTTCTGAAACATGACTGGATTCCTCGGATTCAATACCTTCTTTAATCCATAATTCGCACAGTTCTTGAGAATTGGTGTGCCATTTATGTAGAATCATACTAGCATCTCTAAAAATGTTGACGCATTCTAAACTGGTATTGAAAGGAAGTTCAACGTTTTGGTGTCCACCAATGATGTCATCTACATAAATGTGATCATTTAGAAATTCGCAAGTGGCAGGGTAGGTTTTCTCATATTGTTTCAAATGGTGTTTAATGGTTGCAGCCAGTAAAACCGGACTGCTATTTACGCCAAATAACACACGTGTGAACCGATAAATTATAAAATTTTGTGGATCATCGAATGGGTTTTTAGTAAACAGAAAACGCGTTACATCTCTGTCCTTCTCATCTACTTCTATCTGAAGAAAAGCCTGCTTTATTCACTTGTAAATGCTACAGGATGAAGCCTGAAGGCCAACAGAAGTTCAAAAATGTCAGGATACAAATTTGGACCAATATGCAAGCAGTCATTTAACGAGATTTCACAGGTCCATGTGAAGACGCGTCGAATACGGAACGTAGTTTACTATAGTAGTCGATCACTACGAACGATTTCTCTGCGAGGCAAATAAAATGTGATTTGAGATTCACTATCAACAGTGTCTGGAACTGGTTCAATGATGTTTTGTTGTAAATAATCTTGTAGAACTGTTTGATACGAATAAAAGAGTTCAGGGTTATTCTGAAATCGCTTTACAAGTTTCTCAAATCGTTTCAGCGCAATCGCTTTATTGTCATGTAACTCATATTGTATATCCGACTTCCATGGCAGCCTAACCTTGTAACGAGAATTTCTGTATAAAATTTCCGATTCGAATTTTTTCATCATGGTGTGGTGTTGCGCGGCCCCAACCTACACGCAACAATAATAGTGACTGCTAATGAACTGGAAAGTACACAAACTCTTAAGACGGTTTAACGCCCTTTTATTTTACTTTAGACGTTACAGATGCGTGCACTGACGCTCCAAACTACGCCGACCGCGGTAAATAAAAATAAGAACTAAAACTGAATAATAAAAGTTCCTACCTACGAGGCTCTCTAAACGTAACTAACCACCGCGTTCTAAGATACAGCTGATTCCAACTTCTGAATATTAAGTGAGAGATTCACTATCTGCCGAGGCAAGCACACAGCCGAAACGCGTGGTTCTTCAATTTCTAACCAGCACCTCCCGTTCGTGAAGCAAGAAAGCCACTTTCGAACTCGTTTCCCTTCTATTTAACTCAGATTCTTCCGCTGACTATTTGAATTACTTTGCGCGTTCTACTAAATTTACATACTCTGGCTTGGCAATTCCAGGGGAAAGTAAGGCTTGACAGGAAAGATAGTTTAAACTAAAAAAATGTTAGTTAAAATAAATATAA